CTGAGTTACAGGATGTTACAGTGCAGGCTCTTTTATGTCCTAAGTCTTCCCAGTGTCCATTTTTAAGCACCCATATGAATGACTCAAGGTTATATAGCAATAAATTGGAATATGAACTTGGATCTACCTGATCACAGTACTTCCTGTTGTCAGTTCTGATGTGCGTAAGCAAGGACTCTGGGAATCTTCTTTCAGAAGCCCTGGGTTGCCTGAATTCTGCTGTAGCTACTGCAATACAGTTCTTTCCACAGCATATGCCTCTCCTTCCTCCTCAAATCTTGGATGAGGTGGGTTATTTCTGGGTGAGTCTGTGTCTGAACTCATGCATAAAAATGTGCCACCAGTCTAGAAATAAGACTGCAGGAGCGATGACCCTGGTTAGATCAAGAGTGGGAAGGTTGTAAACCTACTCCTGCTTAACAACTTTCTCTACCCTACTGCTTCACCTCGTGGTTTAGGTAGATCAAGAGAGTCCCTAATCAGAGGTGCTGACAAGAAGGAAGCAGCAGCCTCATCGTAAATCCCTGCTGCTGCATCCTGCCTCTCAGTGTCCTTCTCTGGGCATGACGCAGAATGCTTGATGGTTAGACGCTCTCTCCTGGGAATTAAGCACATCCACCCTCATCTTTCTGCCACTTTCTACCTGTGTGACTTCAGGGAAACATATCTGCCTCCCTGGTCCTCAGTTTCTTTGTCTGTAAAATGAGAATAATGATAGCCCTGTTGTGAGCTCACTGAGAGGACAAATTGCAAGGAAGACTTATTTCACTCAATGCCTGGCCCAGAAGAAACACCCAGTCCATGGGAACTGGGTCCTACTTGGCTCCTCCTGCTGTCAACAAGTATCTCTGGAGCTCAGGAAGTAGGATTTTTAAATGGCAAAAGGCATTTATTTCCCCATCTTGCTTCTCAGAAGGTAAGAAATGATCCTATGGAGCGCTTAAGAGCACAGTGTTACTGGTATAAAATCCTGGGCAAATTATCTCTCTAAATTGTACTTCCTTCAGTTGTAAAATTGGAATTATGTGATGGTGGTGGTGCTGGTGGTGGTGGTGGTGGTGAATGTGTGTGGGATGAACTATGCCCCATGGCCCTTTTTTAAGTTTTATTTTGAAACAAGATTTTATTAAGTTGCTGTCATGATTTGGGTCCCAATGTCCACCCAAAGCCTCATGCAATCATCAAATTCTTTGGGAGGTGCTGAGTCTAGAGTTTGTGGTTGGTTCATGGTCTAATACTAGGATTAAGGGTTTTGGGATGCAAGATGGGTGATTGCTGGATCAGTTCACAGATTAAATTGGCACTGTCTTAATCCCAGCAGTCTGGCTAAGATAAAAGGAGAGACTTGTTTCCCCCTCTCCCTTGCTGCTTTTTCTGTCTTGTGCCACCATGAATTGTTGCCCCTCTGCCATACTACCCTGTCTTGGAGGCAGCCAATTATGGCCTGAAGTCTCTACCAACTGGGAACTAACTAACCCTTTCCCCCTTTAACTTTGGGTGTGGGGTATTTTGTCTTAGCAACAAGAAAAGTAACTGAGACAGTTGCCCCTGAATTTGCAATCCTGCCTTAGACTCCCAAGATGCTTGTAGTATAGGCATCTACCGTCATGCCTGGTTTGGAATTACAAGTATTACTTTCAATTGATAGAGTTACAGTTAACCTCACATAAGTTAATCATAATGGAAATGAATTATCTGTACTCAGAATCCCCACTTCCTCACCCTCAGTTCTCTCAAGGCCACTGCAGACTGGCATCTAGCCTCACGCTCCACGCAGTGTGCTTAGCTCACTAACTTCCATGTTGCTAAATCCATGCTTGCTTTTCTTTGGCACAGACAATCACTGTCCCCTTCTTCCCTTGGAGTTGGGGACATTATCATTCTGTTTCTTCTCCTACAGCACAAGCCAGTCCTTCTTGTATCTTTCACTGGTAGCTCGTCTTCCCAGAAGTGAAGCTCTAGAGGGCCCAGGGCCCATTCTTTGCCCTCATCTATGTTCACTCCTGAGTGTCCACTAATCAATCCCATGACTTTGGGCCAAGTTCACACTCACAGCTCCTGCAATTCTGCCTCCAAGATGTTCCTGTCCACTGAGACCTCGTGCTTCTCTGACAAGGACATGTACCTCACCATTATGTCCAATATTTCCCCCAAAGAACATACCTAACACAGGAACTCTTCATTTTCCCCACTTCCTCCCTATTCAAATTACTTCTTCCTCAGGTTTCTCATTTCCCCCAAATGAGACAATTTATCCAGTGAAATTAACTCCTGATTCTTCTCTTTGTACTCTTCACCCAGTCTATCAATAAATCCTACAGGACATCCTGCAGAAAACATTTAAATCTGACCGCTTCTCACCACTGTCATGGCTGCTGTCCTAGTGCTAGTTCAGGCTCATTCCTAGTCCTAATCCTACTCCTAACCTTTATCCTTGGCTCATCTCCTTCAGGGGCCTCTGTTCCCACTTCCATCCTTGTGTCTCTGTGGTATCTTCACCACTCGTCTCTTCAAGAGAAATCAAGCATGTTCCTCCCCTGTCAAAAATCCCCAGTAAGACTCCATTGGCAGCCAGACCAAGAGACTCACAAGGCCTCAAGTGGCCAGACACTGCCAGTGTCCTTATTCTCCCCTCCCACATGCTCTCCCTTATTCCCTGGGTTCAACTGTCCCAAGCTGAGTGACCCCACTCAACTCTTTGCCTTTGTCCTTTCCTCGGAACATTCTTTTGTGTGCTTCTTTACAAGTAAAAATAAATTCCTTATTTTTCTACAAAGTATTCATCATCACCTGAAGGTTGCTTATGTAGGTATTCATGCATATTTACTTGCTGCTCAAAACTCTGGCTAGAATGTACAAATCTTGTTCATTGCTGCATTCCCTCATCCTAGAAAGTAAAAATTCATGAATGGCAACTGCCTACTTGAAAGGGATGATGGAAGAGTTAAATGAAATAATGTGTGCAAAGCCCTGATGCCTGTGCCTGTTACACATAAGAGCTTGATGTGTATTAACTATTACTATCATGTAACAAATTCTCTCAGGATGAGAGCTATTGCTGCAGGACCTTTCCTATGGACAGTCGCCCAGAAATTGTCTGGGCCAGGTCCTCATGGGGCGAGGTATACTGGGCCTCCATTTCTAAGGGACCAGTGTACCTCTTATCAGATGTTTGTGTTTAGACTCTGAAGGGGGCAAATAACTCTAGTTCTTTTGACAACATTTAAGTCTCCACCACCATTTTATTATGTGAGCAAACATTTGATAGCTGGGAAGCCCATCCCTAATGACAGGTCATAGAATCTCACTGGCGTCTCCTTATCTTCCCTTCTTGTTTGCTCTTCTATTGAAACCTGCGAGGTCAGAAGTGGTTTTCTCCCTCAAATCTGAAAATTGGAAAGAGGCTGATAGTGAGAAATAAAGAGACCAGAGAGTAGGGGTAGGCAGTGGGAAGAAGAGGCAAAGGGTATCAGAGGATCCTGACCAAACCCACAAGAATGTAGAAGGGTCAGAAGACTGTCTCCTCACATGAATTCATGACTCAGGTCCACTCTTAGAAGCCTTCAAGAGCAACTTGGATGAAGGAACCCTTTGTGAGCCAGTGTTATAATCAGAGAACTTCACACAGATCAATCCATTCAATCTCGCAACTTTCATTTTATAGGGGAAGTAACTGAGGCACAGAGAGAAAGAGAGCAACTTCAAGAGCCCAGGCAAAGTAGAAGGTTCTTAATCTCAGTGTAAGTAGAAAGAGTAGTAAAAAGAAATGGGTAGTACAATGAAAAATACTGTAAGGGTACCCAGGAAAGTTTTGGATCTCTGATTCCATACTCTCCCAGCTCTGAAACCAGCTCGTTTTAAGTCTTGTTTTCCTAATCTGTAAAATGGACATAATGGTAATCTTGTCTGGGATTATGATTGTGAACACTGGTTAATGAGTGAATAATGCAACACTGGGTCTCTGATAGTAGCTGTAGGGGTGTGTGTGTGTGTGTGTGTGTGTGTGTGTGTGTGTGTGTAAGAATTTTTAGAAAACCAAGCACAAGCCAAAAGGCAGAACCATAGAAGTCAACAAAGGTGAAAAGGAAACAGAGGGAAACCAAAAGGGATCCCCCAAATTAAAAAGATGAGTAATGATGTTTCAGAGCAGTTAGGATGAATGAGGCTCCAGGGGCTCAGGCTTCCCTGCATAGACTCAGTGACTCCTCTCAGAAGGTTGCTTCAGCCATTGTGGGGCCTTCTTCCCCATGCTCAAAATGAATGCATCAGAGGTCTTTGGTCCCTGGATCCTTCTCCTACTTCTCTGAGTTTCTTGTCATAAAGGTAACAAAGCTTGAGAAAGCATTTTGCAGTTGGCAAAGCTCCTTTCCAGTTGAAAAAGTTTGGGTAAAGGCAAGTTCGAGTAGAGGCCATTCTCTCACATGCTTATGGCCCTGTTACTCTGGGTAGATGAGCAGCACCAGCACAGCCTGGGAAATTCTGAGAAATTTGGATTGCTAGAGCTACCCTAGGTCTCAGAATCAGAAACAAACTGTTCTATGAGAATCACTGTAAGTGGTAGGTCTGCCAGAGTTTGTGAAGCATTGGTCTAGGGCAACCCTGGTCATAGAGTTCCTTGGAAGAAATCCTTATTTCCACAAGAGATGAGAACTCCTCTATACCACTACCTTTGCAACCACAAGAAGTGCATAAGTAACATACTCACAGGAAGAGGAGCCCCCTTCATGGTTATGATCAGCAAGTTAGAGCTATTGCCAGGCCTCTAGCAACTTACTTCTCTCTCGCAAAGTAGCCAGAAAATCCAGCTTCCAGGTTTCCCCAAGGTTATAGGTGTCTCTGGGCCAACACACAGGAACTGAGCAGCCACTTGACCCTCCACCCTTCACCACTATTTGCTGGCTGAGTTAAGCATCAACTCCCACACAGAAGCTGAACTAAAGCTCATATCTGTCCGGTGCACGCAGCTGAGCTCTCTCCCCTCTCTCTTTCTCTCTCTGCAGTGTCCATTGCAAGCCTGGTGATGTCCACATATCACTTACTCTGTGCACAGCAACAAGGACTCTATTTTCCACACCATCACCCTCTGGGCAGCTGTCACGGAAAAGCCCAGCGACCTGACAAGCACCCGTGAGAGTTCCCCGCTTACCTGACATCCTGGTGGCACCTCAGACAATCCACTCCTAGGAGACGCAGCCTGAAGCCCAGCTTCCCTTCTATACAGTATTGTCACAATGCTTCTCCTAAGATGCCAAGTGCTCCTGTTTGTCCTGGAGGTGGGCAACATGAAACTGCACAAGAGGAAGAGAACGTGGTACAGTCTACCTTCGGATCCTTCATCGAACAAACTGATGCAAAAACTTGAATCTGTTACTGAAACGAAGACAAGAGGACATGTGCTACTGAACTGAGCCAAACACACTGTAAATATCCACAAATGCCCTCTCCCCATCCCTATCCCAAATGATCTCGAGATTTCTTTTAAAGAAGTAAATTTGTCCAATGGCTGTAAACTATAAACTGCTGTAATTAAGTGCAATTTCCCCTCCACATCATCTCCCCTTGTCCTGTATATAATACTAAAGCATCTATTAGTTTTCTTTATAAAGGTCAGAGTTAAAATTTCAAAGGCCATTCCCCCTTTTTCCCCCAAGTGAGAATTGAAGCCCCTCACCCCTCCCTTGGGCCTGGACACATATAAAAGCAGCATACACGGGACTGACTGCCAGCTAGCCCCATCCTCCTGATGTTGAGACACATCTCTGGATACCTAGAAGGGTAGAACAGAATGTAAGAGTGACATCCTAGTTTCCTGTGGGAATAGCAGTTTGGCCAGTGCACCCCAAAGAAACCCTGGGGCAGCGACACTGGCTGATAGCCAAAGACACAGTGGCCATCTCAGGAATTCTCCCATTAAAACCGTTTATTTTATCACTGCCAAGAGTCTCATGTTTTTGTTTCTGACGTCTTCCTTCCCAAGAAGTCCTGGCTTAGTCTCCTTGAGACTTCCAACATACAAGGATCAGCACAGTGGGTGTCTTGTGGGGTGTGGAGGGGTGGATGGCCTTTGCTTGCTGTCACGTTCCCTGAATTTTCAGGTTGGCCTTCCTGCTATTTGAGATAAGGAAGAGTTGATTCCCCCAGGCAGACTTCACAAACCCTTCTTCCCAGCAGTTCACAGGAACAAAGTCACAGAGCCAATTCTTGATGACTTGTGCTCATAGAAACTAACAAAAAGCAGAAAGAATGAAAATATAGTGGGTAACTTTTTAAGCCTCATTTTAAGCATTGATTCTAGCTTTTCTTCTCATCCTGTCTTCCACCTCTAGGGCCAGGCACTAGGAGAATGGGCTTTTGTGGGTGTTTCCACTTGTACAGGACTTCAAATAGTCCAAAAGGTGAAAAACCAAAAAAGCTGGAGACTTCCAGCACACTTTGCCAGCAAAGAATCCAGAGCTGATTACAGAACAAAGGGAAAACATCCGTCTTCTTTGCTGTCTCCTTTTCGGCATAGCTAGGGGTCCTGGCCTGTACCTTTTCTACTTCTAGATGGGATATTTCCCAAGGGAAGTGTAGGCAAGGAAACTATGCTGACAGGCTCTGAGAGATAGATTCTTTTCAAAACCCTCAGTGTACTAGAATATGCAACCCACAGTGAGTCAGGAAATTTGACTGAGTGGATAGATGTGACATACCGTCCTCCATTGATTCCTGACTCCCCCAAACTGTAATTTGGGCTGAAATGATCAAGAGAAAATTCCTGATGGGTTTTGAAAGGGACTAGGGAGAGGCCAAGCATTACATGTGGAGAGAAGACAAGGTGTCTTTTCACTAATTGAGGCGATCAGTAAAGAAAGGGCAGCTCAAATTCCAAGAGGAGGGAAGGCCGAGACATCAAGCCTAGTCTCGTGGAATGCCCAGAAGGTCATATTAATACAAGAGGTCATCTGAGCAGAGGAGGGAAGGAGCAGAGAGACAACCTGGGAACTTCTGACCAAATGCTACTTAAATCAAGATATGTAGCAACTGGGTCCCTCCGAAAGCCAACAATCAAATTTCTTTCTTTCTTTCTTTCTTTCTTTCTTTCTTTCTTTCTTTCTTTCTTTCTTCTTTCTTTCTTTCTTTCTTCTTTTTCTTGTGGTGCTAAGGATTGAACTCACGACTTTGAGAATACTAGGTAAGTACTACCCCACTGACCTACACTCCAAGCCCCACAACAGCTCTTTCATAAAATCAGGGACCCCTGTCCTCACTGGCCATACTAGGGGAATGGGTACCCATTGTATGGGGATCTAGATAGGAATTACCCACTCTCAAGGGTTTTTTTGTTTTGTTTTTGTTTTTGTTTTTTTGGTGCCAGGGATCAAACTCAGGACCCTGTGCTTGGCAGGCAGGTGCTTATCTGCTGAGCTATCTCCCTGGCCCTCTCAAGATTCTTTTGCCACGAAAGCCTTCATTTCTCCCAGCTTCTTATGGACCAAAATTTCCTTGGGTTTGTCTTTGTACACTGAGCCCCTATTGACCTATGGTTCTGTTTCTATCAGGACCCACTGTCGTGTTTTAGGGGGCAGTTAGACTTGATTTTAATATATGTGGATAAGGATTTGCCTTAAATTGTAGTAGCTGTTCCAAGACAAAGAGTTATAGGGGATTCTCTCTGAAGTCACAGATAACAAGCCTTGTCTGCCACTGAGTTCAAGAGGATAAGAATACAATAGTCAGAGAATCTGAGATCTAGGAAAAGATCTTTGATAGTCTTTTTAAAGCCAGAGTGCCCTGATTAGAGTCAACAATTCTACCACTTAGCCTCTCTCCTCCCCGTGTCCTCCTATTGAAAATCTGAATGGTAACAATCATAGCTGCCTTTATGGTTGTTTTAGGAGGAAGAGTGAATACCTTAAATGCTCAGAACTCTGCCTGTGTGCATGAATACTTTCCCATTCATGAGCATTTTTTCATAGAGCCTCTTGGATTGGGTTGATATTTTCAGATAACTATATCACTTAGCCATTTGATGATTGGTAAAGAAAATTGCAGCTAAATTGTCAAATGTCTTTGTTCATTACTGCAGTATATGGAACACCAAGTGGTAAGCTATTGCCGCCAGAAGGGCAGGCCCAAGAAGAGGGGAGGGTGTCACTGGGGGTGGGAGGTGGGGGGAGGTAGAGGCCTTGTCTTCTTCCTTGGGAGGGGGAGACTAAATGTGAATAGCAGGAGACCACAGAGAGCATCAAGAAGCTAAAACTGGTTTTCTAGTCCTGAAAAGAAGTGTGGCGTTAAGGGGGAGGAATCTGGGGAGCCAAGAAAGGTGAAGGCGAGAAAGAGGCAGGAGCTAACTTCTTTCCAAGGAAAAGCAGAGTCTACGGGCTCCCTTTGAGTTAGGAATTAATTCAAACAAATGCCACCCATAAAGCACTGAGGCTGAGGAAGTAGCTCAGTCGTGGAGTATTTGCCTGACATTCTTGTAAGCCCTGAGTTCAATCCCTAGCACTGAAAGAAAAACTAAAGCTGCTTTGGAAAATAAGCGATTGTCAGGGCTGGGGAGATACCTCCCTGATCTAAGTGCCTGCCAGGCAAGCACAAGGTCCTGGGTGCAATTAGAATCAGGCATGGTGGCTCATGCCTGTAATCCCAGCCCTGAGGAGGCTGAGACAGGAGGATCACTGTGAGTGTGAGCTGCACAGTAAGACCCTATACTAAATAAATAAATATTAAAAAAGAAAAAAAAAGCAATTAATAATGGACTATGCTGGACTGGACTAAGACAGATCCACAACTTCATGCTTCAAATACATCTCAACTGCATCATGCAGGCCAAGTACTTTTGAGGAAAAAGCAATCAGAGAAACCAAGTGACTGTAAGGTATCTCCTTTCTTCCTGCCACTCCTTTCTCCTTCTCCATTCCTCTCCTCTCCTCATGGGTACAGAGTTCATTCTAGTAAGCAAATAGTGAATTGTCTGCTGAAATTTATTTATGACAGGACTATTTCACAAATGAATCTTTGCAGAATGCAGAACTTCATACATACTTATATGAATTTCTTCTTGGGGAGAGATGATAGAGATGATAGATAGATAGATAGATAGATAGATAGATAGATAGATAGATAGATGATAGAGAATATCATGCTTTCTAAATGAGAACATGCAAAGCAAATATGAAGGAGGAACACCAAAAGCAAGAATCATAACAAGCAGACTTCATGGGGCCTGTATGTGTATGTTTGTGCCAGTAGATCCCACAACTCAAACAACAAGATGGTTCTTTCATATTTTCTTTTCTCACCAGATATATACCGCTGTACTACCAAAAGAAAGGCTTCCTTCTTATGCTCCATTATCTTGAAATCTTTAACAAAGCAATATGTTAAATTATTCTGAATTAATTACAAAAGGGATAAAAGAGATAAAGCTAATTTTTAAAAGACTAAAAATAACCAAATATGAGAAAAGCATGTCTGATTCCCAAGACATTACATTACTTTTTGGTGTATCTTTGCTCTTGGGAATATCTAGTCCAGAATTATCTTCCTACTTCGTCTGTTCAAGAAGTATTTGTTGATCCTGCCACACGTGAGGCACTGTCATTTTAGACATGGGGGATACAAAGGTGAACCAAAACAGGTAAAAGCCTGACTTTCATGAGGCTTGAATTCTAGGCAGGAGATAAAGAGGAAATGAGTGTGTGTGTGTGTGTGTGTGTGTGTGTGTATGTCATATAATAAAATCTGTAAAAACTCTTGCTAGCTGAGAGGATGGTGGTGTGGGGTAGCCATTTTCACCAGGATGCCCAAGGAGGAAGAGTGTGGTCTCTGAGAAGTTGACATCCAAGAGCCCTGAGGTTGAACAGTGAACCACGTGGACATCCAGGGAGATCCCTCCAGGCAGAAGGAAGAGCAGATACAAAGAACCTGAGGCAAGCACAGAGGCTGAGTTGTTAGCGCTAAGTGAAAGGGAAAGCGGAGGGTCAGAGAGGCAAGCAGAGTGCAGGGCATTTCACAACAAATGGTGCTGGGCCTTGTGGCCTTTTGCGAGACTTCTGCAAGCTGGGGTGAGGGCCTTGGGTTTTATTCTGCGTGACCTAGAAGCCATCAGAGAATTCTGAGGAAAGCCAGGACAAGATCATATGTTTTGAAGGGATCCTTCTTTATCTCTAGGCAGGAGATAAAGAGAAAGCTAACAATAACTGAAAAAGTAATATATTAAATATGGGCCAATTAAAGAAATATACAAGGTGTTAATACATATTAGAACCAAAAAAGCAAGTGAAGAAAGAAGAGGAGGAAGGGAAAAGGAGATGGTTTCATTTTTTGTATAGGGATTGCTTTGCTCTTGTTTTTCAGCACAGGATTTCACTGGTTGTTCAACCGAGAAGAAATCTGAGGGTCTCGTTTGGAATCACCTACATTGATGGCTGAAGACTTATTCTTCTTGTTGCTTCCTCTCTTAAGAGATTCAATTCACCTGGCTGCTATAACAGATGAGCACATCTTGGTGGCTTAAAACCACAACATGTATTCTCTTAAAATTTTAGAGCCCAACAGTCCAGCATTGCTGGGCCTCATCAGGGTGGCACCAGGTTGAACTGCCTCCCGAGACTCAGACGCACCATCTTTCCTTGCCTCTTCGGCCTCCACTGGCTGCTGGCATCATTCCAGCTCCTGCCTCTGCTTCTGTGTCAGATCTCTACCCTCCTTCCCCTTAGGAGGACACATGTGATTGTCTTTAGAGCCTCTATTAACTTTCCTTCATGACATTTACCATCTCCCTTTCCCCTGTTAAGGTAACATGTGTAGATCCAGAGATTAGGCCCTGACATCTTTGGAGCTCTTTATTCAGCCTACTACAGAGATTTTCCTGCAAGCTCAGAAATGCAAACCTAGAAAGAGAATTTCAGGTAAGAATTTCTTTGTACAACTTTTCCCACTATATTTCAT